CCCCAAAACCCCAAAACCCCAAAACCCCATAGGAGTAAGATTAGAGACATTTAAATAAGTAGTTTGAGAAGAAATTATTAGAGAGAATTAATGACATTAATTGTTTACTATACTATAGTTTAAATAGTTTAAATGAGAATATGGCAGAGGAGCAAAAAGTGCCTTTTCAAAGAGTTTCTTATGTTACATCTTTTAACTTTTAAAAGTATTAGATACCATAATTGAACTACCTGTCACTCTAGAGCTTCTGGATATACTTACAGCTAGTTGAACTGTTATAAAGTTAAAGGAAATGATCCAAAAGTAATAGAAATGACTCTTTTGTGAATAATTTAATGAGATTTTACTCTGAGTAAACATAAAGCGCTCTTTATAACGCTTTAATAATGGATTATTCATTTCTTGCTTAATAAATTTCGGTTGCTTTCGTGTGATAAAACATTCCACCGAACAGCACAGTAAATTCCCGTCTATCCTTCTTAGTTTATTATTAAAAGTACCCCTTAGAGTCTTGTTAAACGAAGGAATTTACGTATAAGTCTAAGCAGTCTTTTAATGCTTCAAATCCACCTCTTCTTTTAAGCCTTTGATAATTAGTGCAGGTGTGAAATTATTGAATATAATATTTTCTTATTTTCCTGAGAGTAGGTTTGAGAATTAAATCAAGCCTCTTCAAGCCTAATTACTCCCTAATATCTCTTTTATAAGACTCGAAGATCTTCTATTTCTCGTACAAAGCTTTACTTTTCTAAGTAAAATTTTAGGTGTCTAGAGATATCCATCTTGTGCGGGTGGTCCTTGTACGGAGAGATGTTGTTTTACTATTGGTCTATTAATTGTTTTAAGCTGTTTGTAAAGTAATAGCATCTACTACTTCGTTGTTTCTCTGTGTCTTGGATTCTTCTAGATTGAAGGAATTTAGGCTATAGCTGTCTTCTGTCATATTACTATAAGTTGTTTCATTATTTTACCTCTGATCTTATTAATACTCTTTATTCAAAAATTTAAATTTCATGTTCTGGAGTCCGATGTTATCCTTATCAAAGTTGAACTGTTGCTTTGATTCTGAAGAGTATTCGTTTAAGTAATTTATTGACAAATATTCATCGTTAGAATGTCCTTCATTTTGACTTAATTGATTTTATTGTTTCAATGAGTTCAATGTTTCATGAATTAGATCATCGTTAAAATTGAGTTAATCTCTTGAAAATGAATCCATATCATTTTATTTCAAGAACTAAGTTGGAGATAATAAGTCTTCTTATATATTGTCGAAATTTAAGCTTTCTAGATTGAGTGAAAGTTATTGAAAGCTGAAAGATGAAAGTTCAATTTTATTTGAGCTGATATTTTATGATTGCATTCTTAATTATTAATTATATGATCGTAAAATCTTTATTCATTTATAGGCTTTTACCTCTAGAGAATAAATTCTAGGATCGCATTTTTTAAATCCAATGATAAGTCTAAGGGCAAAAGTATTTTGCAGGTGTGCATATAATCATAAGATGTTTGAATTTTTCGAATTGTTTTTGCTTCAGAATTATTGTTTGACTATTTTTTTTGAAATCAACATAATTATCATGTAAATCATCTCATTACATGAATAATTTAGTGATTAGATTAAAATTCTGAATTTAGCTGTATCCTTTGAAATTACCACATTATTTAATCGCATTCAGTGAGCATTTATACTTATTAATAACCCAAAGTGAAAACTTAAGCCACCTTTAAATTCAAGAAACGTCTGGTATTTTTGTGACCTCAATCTTGCCTCCATATTCCCCAATCTATATGATAGGTTATCTGATAAGAAGATTTGATTTGACTATAAACTAAAATTAATATTAATTTACCCTTTCATTTTAGTGATTCCAAAGTACATTCAAATGTCACTCTTCGGGGTTTTGGGGTTTTGGGGTTTTGGGGTTTTGGGGTTTTGGGG